GGAATGCTGCTGAGGAATGTAAAGATAATTACAACGAATATGAAAAGCAGAAGGAGGGGCTTTCTTTGACAAGTTGAAGTGCATTTCCCTGCGGTAGCATGGCCAAAAGCAGAGGAAAAATTCTGAGGGACACAGCTACAGTCTCGGTACACCTGGGGAGCGCAACAACAGCGCTGATTACAGGGGGAAGGGGCAGGAGCCGCCCTCCCCCGCGTCCGGGCGCCACCGACCGCCTGGGCAGCAGCCACCCACACTCACCTTCTGGCCCCCGGGGCCAGGCGAGGCCGCCTCCGGGCACCCCGCGTGGCAGGGCGAGTAGTACATGAGGCCGTTGGGGCCACACACGGGGCTGTAGTGCTCTGGCTGGCAGCCGCAGGCGGCGTTGCAGGCAGCTGTCAGCCCCAGGTGGCCTTCGGGCAGGAGGCTGCAGGTGGGAGAGAGCGACGGTGGGGTGCAGGCCAGCGTGGGGTCTGGCCCCTGAGGGCCCACGTCTGCAGGTTTACAAACTCGCTGGGTTTGTTCCACCCAAGGACCGGGGCTTCCTGCATCTCCTCGGCTCCTCGAATCGCTGGATGTGCTCAGAGCGAAGCGAAGCAAACCAACCCTGCGCAGCGCACTCCCTACCTGGCTTGGTTTTGGGTAGGCAGTGTGTTCACAGGGCTCGAAGTGCAAAAACTGCTTGAGTGCCAGGTACAAAGCGTCCCCATGGCACCGGCCCCTGCCCCACAGCGCAGGCGCGTGGACGTTCCACAGATCACTTACCCGCACTCTCAGAGACACGCGCTCTCCCTCTGCGCTCAAATGGAGCACACTGTACACGTCGTTTCGTCCTGCTCCTTCCTTTTCCCGCTCAACACTACCTGGGAGGCGCCCAAGGACTAGACTCCTCCCTCTTCCATGGTACTAAGCCCTCCACTCTGCACCAACTCTTGGCTAGTTTGGCTGTTCCACCCGACCCGGCTGTCTCGACAGTGGTACGATGGCATCCTTGCCCTCGGCACTCACACTGTCATCTCTACGGGGAATTCCCGGCCAGCAATCGCTAGCCTGCATCTACATCAGATATTCCCAAATCACCCCCAGCGGGCTGTTCCCCTCACCTTCCCAATGCAGTGACGCACGGGGGCCCCACTTTCCAAGACAACACGTAGAGAGGAGGTGGGGCTGGGACTGTCCCGTTTTATAGACAGAGGACTGGGGCTCAGGTGCCGCGTGTGAGTGACTGGCCATTGGTCCCCGCTGAGGACACCATCCTTACCGTTACGACCATCTCCAGTGACCGCACCTCAAGCGCCCGACACCCCCCGTCCTCCCCAGGGACCACCGGTGCCCCCAACAGGTGTGCAGAGGTCTCCCCTCGCCCGGGTGCCACCCGGCCCTTACCTCCCGTTGTAGCTGGCGGTCACGCCCGCCATGGGCACGTTGGGGCAGTGCATGGAGAAGACGAAGGAGGCCAGCACGCTGGTCAGGCTGCAGAGCAGGCAGAGCCTGAGGGTGCCTGAACCTCGGAGCCTGCACTTGTTCACAAAGAAGCCACCCAGGAGCATGCCTCCGCCGCCTGCCGGCACCACCAGGTACCCTGTGGAGAGGGAGGGGCTCGGTGACGCCCCCGGAGCCACGGGGGTGGGGCCAGCAACCCCCTGGGCCTGGTCTCCGCTCTAGCGATGGGAGACAGAGGCCCACAGCCACCGGCCCCAATCTGCGTGGCAGCACCGGGCTCTGCACTCAGTGTGAGGACCCTGACCGGTGCTCACAGGGGGCCTCGGAGCCTGGGCCACCCGGCCAGCTGCTCAGAGGCCCAGGGGTGCAGGGGCAGAGCAGGAGAGGGGGGGGGGAGAGGTCCCTGGGCCCTGCCCCTCCCACTGGGGAGACCCAAGGACAGTCGCGCTGCCCTGGCCCACAGGGCCTCTGCAGAGTCTGGCCACAAGGGGGTGTTTGGAGAAGCTGGTGGCCGCCGTTTGGTAGGAAGTTGGGCTTCATCGGCATGTGGCTTCCAGGCCTGCCCTGGGATGGGGTGCAGATGGGAGGGGGGCTCCCCAAGGGTGGGGGAGATCTCAGAGACCCTGGGTGCGGTGAGCCCGTCTCCCCAGATGGAGACCGGCTCTGGGGGCAGAGGGGGGGCCCAGGGGACACAGCCGTCCCAGGAGGGTTGCCGGCCGCTGTGGGGCAGGGAAGCAGCTGGCGGGGGTGGGGCTCTGGCAGGTGGGGTCACAGCAGGTGGGGCACTAGTCACCGGGAACCCCCAGTCTGACACCGTTCTCCCTGGGGAGAGCCGCCTGGCCAGGATGGACCCCCATACACCTCCTGCCTGGCAGGTTCTCGGTGAGGCTGTGGCTGCCACCCCCAGCCCAGCGCTACCCGTGGACAGAGCCAGAAGGGGGGTCTCAGGGGGACTCACTCTGGCCACAGAACGCCTCCGGTCAGGCAGGCCCAGGGCTCCGGCCTCAGGGAGACCCCGGGACACCCACTGCCTGGCTCACGGGGACCGCCAGGCCCGAGGGAGCGTGGTGGGACCTGCCACCCAAACCCTCTCCACCACAAGCCAGGGATGAAGCATAAGGCCCAGGCTCTGGATGGCAAGGGGGGCGGCAGTTAGAACGGGTCAGCAGGCTGTGTTCAGCACTTCCCAAACTGCCCTCGGGAAGGACTGTCCTGCCCATCGTGGCAGCAGCCTTTGTAAGTGTGATTAGAGCTGTTGTGTAAGAGCCCAGACACCTGCTCCGGGGCCCCTGCCTGGGGGGGGGGGGG